ATATTTGTCCCTTGATCCTATCTCACACACACACACACACACACGAAAAAAAAAAAGCCCACTCACTGATATGTCGATGGGTTGTAGCCCCCTAGCCTTGCTTGTCCTCAGGGTAAGTCTTTCCTATATGCGAAACAACTAACAATAATTACTTAATTAACATATATGCAAAAAAAAGCTAGGAAAAACTCCACATAGCTTGCTCAAACGGAAGGTTTGAATATACAAAAATATTCTACTCGAAGTCACGGACCCGCACATGTCAACCACTCGCAGGCCGGAGGCTGGACGTGCCCTCATGCGCCTCCCAACCCACGGCCACACGCACCTGACAGAACCCTGACACCGTTAGAATATTCCGTCAATTTTGACGGAATATTCTTCGTCTTCTCCTGTGATCCTTGCCATCTACCACCGCCGCTGCCATATGGTTCGTCGGAAACTGGGGATTTTTGCTAGTTTCTAGAAAATTTTCAAACCTTCATAACTTGCTCATTTCTCAACCATTTTTGAAGAAATTTATATGGAAATGAAGCTCTTGAGGAGTAGAACAAGTCTATACCTTTTGGAAGTCTAAAAACGGACGAGAAATGGCCTAAAGAAGCCTCACAAGATTCGGCCTAAACTTCGACTCCTCAAACTCGCTTGTTTCAACATCAACTCGTCCCCAAACTTAGTCTAGGGACCCTAGGGAGTTATGTAGAAGCTTCCTCATGTCCTAAAACCTTCTAGCTCAACCTGAAACTTGTCAGAGCAAAACCCACCGCGTCAAAGCTTCCGAGTTGCTTCGCATTGACCACTCAAAACTCAACGAACTCGTGATCAGTTGGTATGGTTGTGATCGTGGGGTTGAGTGGACCATGATGGTGGTGGTCATTGGTTCGATCTGTGATTTTTTTTATTTTTTATGGTGTGTATGTTGTTGCAGAGAAGAGGAAGGTAATGGTGAGAGAGAGAGAAAGAGGAAGAAGAAGAGATAGAAAGACTGACAGCTTTTCTGATTGGTGGAAAAGTGAGGGAAGTTGTCTAGTTGGGTGAGAGGATTGAGAAGAGTGTTTGATTGGTCGTGAGGGATTTGATGGCATGGGTCCAATTTAAAAAGAGTAAAGGATAAGAGTTTTCAAATTTCGCACAATAAAAGCATGCAAGAAAATTCGTCTCCCTATCAAAAATAGTGTTTCTAACACTGATAATTTAGTACACACGCGTGTACAATTCTACTCGATGTTATGTACTTTAACGAAACGCAACTTTTTCGTTACAAGTCCGATTCGAGCCTAACTCACGCCCATGTGTTCTTAACAACGAATACTATTTAATTGTGATAGTGAGAAAAATAATTTAAAGTTGCATAATCACGTCCACGTCATTTCGCCAACAAGGGCATAAATGTCAATTTACACACTCGGGGAGAAATTACATAGAAAATTAGGGACGGGTCGCCACAAAAAGATGTAGTTACCCAGTTTTCTTTCCAAGAATCAATTATCATTAATTTGGTCATACTGCTACATTTAACAGATATCGTGGCGAAACAAAAGTTCTCTCATTTTTGCTCAATTAAACCCTAATGAAGGATGGAGCTATAAAGTTGCCTTTATACCTCATTCTAAGTAAGTGGCAAACTTGTAATAAGTGAGCCATCACTCCCTTCCCTCTTAGGCTGGTTTTGGCTTTCATTTTTGGGTTAATTTTCATTTTGTTTTAGTTGTAATACAACTAAACTCAATGGGCCTGGTGGACCAAAACTCATTTTGGGCCTGGAAATCCGAAACTGACATAAGGCCTAATACGAACCTTTCGTATGATTAATTAACATTTTAATTAATCATTGCCTTATACAATCAAACTACTTAATTGTCCTTACTCATCTTCATTATTTTCTTTAATCATTACCTTATACGGTGTGTGATCCATTAGGTTCCTTTTAGTGAGGTAGTGGGCGATTACAACTTATTCTTAAATCGATTGTGAATTGAAACTTACTTTCAATTCTACCTTTAGTGATTATACACCTTTAGGGCTTCAACAAGCCATGAGTAACACCTAGCAGTATGTCATGGCTACCCAAGCTAATCAAAAGAGGTTGGAGAATCTATTCGGTTTGGGATTACAAATGCAAAATGGTCTTTCTAAGACAATACTCTTGATCACATTGTTTGGTTTGATAGTTTATTCATGTCTACTTCCAATGTGATTCACTTGTCTACATGATTGCCTTGAATGTGATTCATACTCTTGCTAGAGATTATTCATATCATAAAGTACTCCCTCAACGGTTTAAAGGTTAGAGATCCCTTGTTGCGCACCACCTGCCTCCATGTTTAAGTGACTTAACCTCAACTATGTCGTGCACACCCTCTGGTAGAGTGCCTTTAACATAGTCAAATATCAAGGACCTAACCACAAGACATCTATGATACCTCAAGTCAAAAAGACTACTTTGCTTTATTTCAACCATGAGCTCTCATGTGACATGAGTATGAGAACTTCTTGTTGATCGTGTTCAATGGACTCATTCTTTATTGAGTACTTACATACTTACCTTGATGTTAATCACACCAATGACTAGAGACTGTCACTCTCCCAGAGAGAAGACATAGCATGTACTGATCTTAACGGATCGTCAATGCCCAATTGGCAATCCTATGATCAGGAACGTTTTGGGATATGCACAAAAGAAAATGATCTCACGAATCTAACTTCTTTAGATTAGATTCTCCTAACAATAATTTTATATGAAATGCCCATAAAGTATCGTCATATGATTGGGGGTAGGGCACATTTCCAAGAGGGATGTCACGGATTGATATGAATAACTTATGTTTAAAACCAACTCTTAGCTAACTATTCAACACAAGATTTTTTTAAAATATTTAATATTCTGAACTTAAAAGATAAAAACACATATTTAGAATAATTGGAATTGGTTTTTGTAAAACTCGGCAGCAAGGAAGAAAATAAAATAGTTAATATAAAAAGCACTAGGGTTTAACCGTTGTCATTAACAATCCTATATAGTTCCACTAACTGCGTAAGAATTACCACATACATGCTATAAAGGTTAGGTTTTCCTAATGCATATATCTAACACGCAATCCGCTCTGACCAAATCAACTCCAATTAGTCCCCAAAAGATCTCTTTTTAAAGCTTGACACATCCTCTTCAAGTTCTCAGGAGGAACTTTCATCTAAAAACACCATCTTGGCCGTCAAAATACCCAAAACGTCTAGAAACATCAATCTAGGAAAGTTGTTCAATCGGCTTTCTTTTTTTCACTACAGTCAAACGGCATGGAATAAAATCTGGAACTTTTACACGATCATCTTGAAAGACTAACGAATCCACTCCACTTGGAATTACTCCAGAAATCCTCCATTTGATCACTTTATGCCCATATTTTTTATGTTCTACAATTAAAATATAGAGCAAAGTATCAAAATTATACCAAAATAACAAATAAATTATACCTAAGAATAGGGTTAAAATGTAGAATAATATCGACTCATCAGACTGTTTGATAATCATTTCATTTTCAATTTCAATTTTTAGTTTTCATTTTTTTAACTGAAAACTCGTTTAGTTACTATGTAAAAGCCACTTTCTTGAGTTATCAAAATTTGTCTTAAACTTTTTTTTACTCTTTGGTTTCTTGAAAATTAAAAATAGTTTAGTTTTTCAGTTTTTAAAAAATTGAAAACCAAAATTTGAAACTGAAAATGAAATGGTTGTCAAATGGTCCCAAAAGACGGCGAATTTACTATGATATTGCTTGAGCATTAGATAGAAAGCTAGAAATATTTTTGCATGTGTCCTAAAAATGGTAGAAATAGAAGAGAGAAGCTTTACTATGTCTAATATCATTATAATCCTCTCATAATAAAAAAAATCATTCTTCTCTAATATACCTTAAATTTAGAGAATGATCTGTTCCTATTCAATCCTAGGTACCAAATCATTTGGGTTTTACCTGGAAAAGGTTTAGCATGGCCACACTATTTTCTTGTAATCATCTTTATTACTTTTGGAAAAAAGAAAAATATATATAATTAAGAAAGTTTACAAGCTGAAATGTGCCAAATGGACGCTAGTTGTGTAATTGAATATTGAGGTGGTTTTCTTCATTTTCCAACTTAACTTTTCAAGTGCTTCTATAGCTAGTTAGAGAGATCACACAAATTAACTTTTCAAGTGCCTCTATAGCTAGTTAGAGAGATAACACAAAATTACTGTTATTGGGGCTATTTGTAGGCATGGGATGTACCAGGAATATACCATGTCACTCTAATGTTTAATGTCATGCTGTTCAATTTCCCTCCTCGCTTGTATAAAATAAATAATGTCATGCTATTTTTTTTTTTTCATCAAACGATAAATTTTGTTAGATTAGAAGTCAGATTAACCACCGCTCCTTTCCACCACTATGACAAGGGGCAACTTGCATCATTCTCTTCAATTTATGCGAAAATCGAAACGAAGGATAGAAAAAAAAAACATTCAAATAGCACGCATTCTTGGCCATCAAACATAAAGTGATCAATAAACCTTGAAGATTCGAGGATACAAAATAACGGTCTTTGTTTAACACTTGGAAACCCTAAAGTATCCCCCCAACAACCTCTATACATTTAGACAAATCTATAGCCCACAAGTTATACCCACAAGCAGTAGCCTCTAGATACAGTGCCAAGTGCCGTCGATGGCTAAAATGTTTTAGCAGAGCCTATAGTTCAACATTCGGAATTTTAGCTAGGTCAAAGAAAACACACACTAGAAAGTTTTTGAGGAGTTTCTGACTAATTTAACAAAGCTCACCCCGCCAAAAATGAGAAAGTTCACGACAGTGGTTTCTGATAGATAAACAGGGTCAAGGTGAGAACTGCAAGAGAGCCCAGTCTAGAATGCATGTTCGTCATGGCAAGCGAAATCTTGGCTCGCTCTGAACATGTCCAGACCAACAAACTATAGCTATTGTGGTTCATCACAATCTACTGCGCCTACGAACTTGGAACTGTGTATCTAGTGGCTCACTGCAAATTACTAGCCCTGCCAGTTGCACGTATTGGGGCTGCTTGAGCAAAAGAGTGGTGGACCATCATATTGTTCGTCATGGCATTGGCTGATGAGGCAGTGCCTTTCACAGTTTGCTCCAAAAGGTGAACAAGTGACATAAATATTTCCACCCTCGTTACGTCCCTATTTGCCTGCAGATAACACTTGGAAGTAAATGACCAGAATAAAGAAGGTAAAATTGGATGTGCAGAATAAAATTCGGTCAAGAGAATAGCACCACAAAAATTGCCAAGGGATAGAAAAATGAAAGTGATACGTAATATAAATGACAAAATAGAGCATATGTATAAACTTTAATAGAGATCAAACCTCACGATAAAAATCCCGTAAAAAATAACTCGAACAAGCCATATATCAATGTCCAGTCGCCAATTTTCTATATTATTGGTATTGTATTACTTTTTATTTGAAAGACATTGGCAATAATATCACGACAAGGATGCCCAATAGGCTTTAACAAGCATACGTCTCTCCAATTTTATGAGAAAACTAGATGATTGGGGGCACTTGGGCTATGTTTGGGTGAGGGATTTCCAAATCCCTTCGCCAGGTCGGTTTGGAATGGACTACAAATTGTTAAATAGAGGATGAGAAATGCACTTCATGGTCACTGCAAAGGCATGTATGAGGTAAATGACTCCTTCCAAGTAGTGATTTGCAAATCTCTTACATGCCTTTGTAATGCTCATGTGGTGCATTTCTAGTCTTTACTATCTAACATTTTGTCATCCATTCCTTACTAACTTGGTTTCAATTCCTTGGAACTTGGAAGTCCCGCACCCAAAAATATTCATTTTAACCTAAAATATATTCCAGATCGCAAAAATTTTTATTAATCATGAACTTGATCCAAGATCTTGACCTTATCAAGGAGCAAAAGAACCAACAGGCTAAACCTCTAATTAAATCAGCAATCTCTATATAAAATATACTTTGTTTTGAGCATTACCTCTACTGCAAAGCGCGCCCATATCTTATCATTCCGAGCTTCCATTACCCCCTTCAAGATGGTCAAGCCCAAACCTCTTATTAAATCAGCAATTTCTAAAAAGAAACCCTGTTCTTCACAAAGCATCTGCAAAACAAGATAATAAAATGGAAAGACAAAATATTGATACATGTATTTCACTAATAGCCAATGCTCCAATTTCAGAGATTTCATAAAAATGCCAGTCAATACCTCCACAAGCATCTGACGAGGTGGATCGAGATCCTCAACGATGATAGGACAAACAGTTGATTGCGTCCCAACCTTAAAAGCCCATGTCGCCCCTCCATCAAAGTTGTCTTTTAGAACTAGTCCATCATCTGTGCCAATAATCTGTATAGGCGGGAAAGGAAATACATCATCTCAAAAGAATCCATTATTTGTTATATCCTTGTTTTTAAATATCTCATATCCTGGATCTCAAATCCCATAAATCTGGATTTTTCTCACCAATGAAGCAGATTTTCTGTTTAAAAGGAAGCAAGGGGAAAAAGTACAGAGTGTTTGTACCTTAGACTCTCCCGTTTGTTTTAGCTTGTCAGCATGCTTTGTGACACTTTGCAAGAAAAGCATATGCTTGATGGTCCGTTCAAACAGTGCATCTATGCTACACTGTAAAACCATATAATGTTATCAACATAACGGCATCAGCACCTGAAAATTGCATAATTCCAAAACAAGGAAATGGAAGAAAAGAAGAAAGTATTACTTTTGCACCATTTGGCACAATATCACGCAACTCTTTCACACGATCTTGGATCATCTGACGATCTTTTGGCCTTGGTCTAGGGTTCTCTCCAGGTTTAAGCCTTTTGCGATTTGATTTTCCTACTATATCAGGCCTCTTAGAATATGCTGTTGAAACACTGCTCTCGTGATTGGTGCTATTACCCTGTTCAACCCAAGAACTAATTTGAGATCCATATATGGAGTTAGTCTGGGAACAGTTTAGCATATCCTCCCTGCTACAGCCAGATTGGAAAGAACTAGTTTCTTCTGGGCCTGCTTTTACAAGAGATTTACGAAGGCCATATTTCTCGCCATGCACATGATTAGACCTACTAATCCGTCCGTAAGTGGGAGAGCTACTGGGGACGGTAGAACTACTGATTTTTGTCAATGTTGTTCTACAAGACACATTATCATCAGAGTTCTGCTTGACAGCAGGCTGAGCCTGGGAGACCACAGCATCTAAAAGATGGTCAGTACCTGCCCCAGAGAAAATGCTACCAATTGAGATTTCTTGACCTGCTGAATAATAATCAGAACCCAACTCCTGCACATTTGTAAACTTCATAGTATTCTCACCCAAGTCTTTTGAGTTTGAGTGTGTCTCATCAGCAAGCAAATTACTCCAGTTGCCGTTAAACAGCTTATTTTTAAAATCCATACCCAAAACATCAAACAAATCATCCCCTGATGAAATCTGAGTACACACATCATTTGTAGCATTTGCAGATCTTGGACTACAGATTTTATAATCAAAATCATCAAGAACAACATCAGGGATGTGTGCATTCACAGGGATACGCTCATCTTGATGAGTCAACGGAATATTAAGGGCTTGAAACAGTTCATCATCTATCCTTTGTGGGGCCAATTCATTCTGTGTAAGCTTCACATCGGTGGAAAACTGTCTCTGGTCAGAGCCTTTGGAAGGCATGTTATTAGAAGCCGATGGACCTGCTACACTGGATGAAGAAACTCCTCCTGTTTGGAATGCATCAGCCTTTTCAAATTCAACTCCCGACAGACGTCCACCACAGAGGTTGATGTCAGCTACCCTGTTGGGGTCTGAAATAGTGCAAGGAACAGAAATTGGCCTTGAATGACAACTTGATCCACCATGCACTTGATTTCCTCCAAGCAATGTGGTTGTTCTCGAACCTTTGCTCTGATCAAAGATTAAACTTCCATTGGTTCCCAATTGAGGCACGATACCATTTGATGCGCTAAAGTTGTTATCACGATGATGCCTACTGCTACCACCAGACAAGATCATATGTTCTATAAACTTTAGGCTGTCCTGATCTGCACCTGATTGACCTAAACCAGATGGGTATTTGAGTCCCACCCCTGACTTGTAAGAGGTAGTTGACTTGCTCGACCGCACATCAGAATTTGAGGTGATCACTTCAGCTCCCCGAACTCTATCCTTTAGTTGGCCACCCAAAGAAAAATTCAGCTTCATCAATGGAGAAACCATTGGTTGTTGAGGATCATCATGAATTTTTGGCTGATTTTGGGTAAGATTAGGGATTTGAAATGTTGAAGAAGTGGTTTGAGAATTATTCTGAAAATCTTTAAGAGAGTGAGATAGTTGGCTAGAAAGGCCTGAAGCCTGAGTAAAGTGGCTTTGATGGGTGCGTGTGGATCCTGTTACTTTATAATTACCCGCTGGATGCATTGATGCCACTATTCCGGAAGTATAGGGTACCCCAGACTTCTCAACCAAATCTTTTGTCGCATAGTTTTCTGCTAAAAGAACACCAGGAATGCGTCCTAGTTGCAGGACTAGACTCTTCACATCATTGATGAATCCTAAATTCTCCATCATCTGAAGTAGAATGGATACATTAGCCAGGTTGGAAGTAATGGACAACAGACAGAAATCAAATATTGATTTGGCTTAATCAACCACTTGCATAAGAATGCTCAAACTTGAAGAAAACATAGGTACTAAACTATTAATAGACATTCACAGGGGGCAAAAATTAAAACAAATAGACATGTATTCCTATGGGCTGGTTAATATCACAACAATTTTGCTCGCAACAGAACAAAGGTGTAACCAGCGAGCGGCCATTCAAGTAAAAAACGGCTTGCACAGTCAAAAGTGTAATTTATTTGGCCTGAAGCCCATGACTAGCTTTTACACCATACAAAGTACCCACTTTTCAACAGGTTTAGTATAAGGTCTAGATTTCTTAGTATTGCCTTACAAATGTTGCTAAATGCAGTTTTCATGTGTTAAATATTGCCAAAACCTGGCTGCACAGGTGAAATTTTACCAGGATGACCAGGCCAACCAAAGATTTGTGTCATGGTTGGACAGATTTGGCCGCTTATTGAGAAAGCAAATGTTAGTGTCAGGCACCGGTAAATATGATGCAAACTACTGGAACCATATATATTTGGGGTAATTTGAGGGGGGCCACATATAGATACATATCTCACAGGGACACTTAGAAAATACATTCTACCATCTAAATCCATTAAACTACAAAGAAAACTTAGAACACGTCAATTTGTAAGTGCATCCTATAGAACCGAAGAGCTAAATAAAGGACTTACAGCCGAGGAGGAACCAAGTTGAACAACACCATGAGGAAGAACAGGAATAACTGCAACTGTCTGCAGACCAAATAAAATACAAGTAATGTCATGAAACAGAAAATTATAGAATATGCAAAAAAAGTTGATTATATAGGAACTAGCATACCTGCATGCCAGCAGAAAATTGGTGGTGCATCTCATTCAGGACCTGCAGCAGCGACAAAATCAAGTCATATAAATACAAATGCCAAAACCCAAAACTTGAAATATAATTTTTATCCCTTGATGAAACGGTCCTCACTAAATTTGTCGCACAATTATCAAACCATGGTATAAATTTCAGCGTCTGACAACTGACCAGAGTTATGAAACTAATTAGATGGCTCTAAATCATTTAATTTCCATTTAAAATTTAGTTTCACCCATCCAAGTATAATCACCGGCTACACTGTCAAAATAGATGAACCAAGGTATACGTGTTTAGTTATGAAGATTATGGCCAATGAAGAACAGATGTTGAGTAAGTAGATACACATGCTTATTAACTAGGTCCTGACCTCCGAAAATTTTCATTAAACTCTTCAAGCAAAAACTGTACTAGCAGGGACAAGTAGAAATACTGTTATACCTCTGGTGGATGGGCATCTTTTGTGTAATTGCCTGATAGAATCCATTGATGGTTCCCTGTAAATGCAGCTCGTCCAACCATTCTGAAACAGCCAAAGGAACAGTTTTTCAAATGGATGTTTACAGCTACGAAGAAAAGGCACTTAAAAAATGAAACCCACGTAAAAACAAGCAAAGAAAACAGAAAAGTCATACCCTTCGCCCACTATATTAAACGGTTTATCAATCATCATTGTGTTAATAAGCGAGGACACTCTTTCCTCTTGTTGAAAGCCATTAGAAGAGGAGCACACTTCAGAAGAAACCCAGCATCCTTCCCACTCTCCAAATGGTAATTCAGCTCTTTCAGTTCCAGCAATGCGTTTAGGTAGAGAAGATAGCGATGGTTCGTAATGACATTCTTCCCAAATTAATAGTCTGCCACCAAGTTGAATAGAAACATATAATTACCAAGAGAACAAACACCAAAGCATCAAAGGATGTTATGACACATGAGCACATAACATAAAAACAAAATTTAATTCGGTTGGTAATTGGGAGTAGCTTTAACATGCGTAATAACGTATCTAAGTTTGAAATCATATCTATATCAAGTGCACTTTCTTAGAAGCCAAACGGATAAGAAAACAGAGCAACTGATCAGCAGATTCAACCCCATGCACCCAAGTTTGAATCCCCCACAGTTTAGATTAATTTAAAGTAGAATATCGCTTGTATCGGAGTATAAACAAATAAAGAGCAGGTTTGGAATAGTAAATGCAAACCTACTTTTGCACTGATTAGATTCTCAAAGACAAAACAGAACAAACCAAAACATAAACTTCCAAAAACAGAAATAAAGAAACTTTGAGGTTGCGCGAATCTAAAACAAACGACACATTACACTATAACATCTCCATCTTATCTGAGATTGTATATCATATCCTCCCAAACCCTACTCCTTCAAACCAAACGGAAACGGACAATATAATCCAATCTTGATAGCAGGTCCACTGGGTTTGGCTACTCAGAAAATGCAGGAAAACAAAACACTAACAACAAAATCTTCAATCTCCCTCTAACTGGTCACACTATTCCTCCACTTTCTCAGTAACCAAACAGAGGACTAGCCAGATTGAAAAAAAATATTAAAGAAATGGATAATTAGAAAACCAAAAATTAATCAGCGTTCTGTGCTTGTGCTCCAATGTACCGGGAACTTACTTAGGGTTTTGGCAGCCGATCTTCCAGAACACAGCATAAGCCCACTGATTGGTGCCGCACAGACGCTTGAGCGCTTCTTTAAGAAAAAGCCCCATGGCTGCTGCCTTTCCGGAGCTCGAAAAAAAATGTTCGGAAAATTCAAAGCACTAATCGAACAGAACAGAGTAGACAAAATTGACAGCCGATTTAAATGACAAGGAAATCAGTGCCGGAGAGCGTGCATTTCCCAGCGCAGCCTAACTTCCACGACACGATCCTCTCCCTGCCTGCTTCGTCCTCAGTCCGCCGCTCCTCTTCCTCTCCGGATCCAAGTTCCACGCATTGAGTCTCGATCTCAGGCCAGCCATAGATAAGAGATAGAGTGAAGAGAGAGAAAAGCTTTAGTGAGAGAAAGGGGAGGAAGCTGAAGGCTTTCCGAACAGGAGTAAAAACCTACACTATCCCACAAGCTTCGAGCCTGTAGAAAGCCTCCATTTTTGTTATCTTTTCAGTTTCTGTGAGCTGCTGAAAAATGGTGAAATTTGAAGAGTTGCAGAGAGAGAAAGGGAGGGAAGGAGACGAAGAGAGTGCGAGAGAACGATGACTGTGGCAATACGATGTCGTTTGGTGTGGGGGAGGTGAGGTCACGTTCAGTGCTTCAGCTGCTCTTCTTGCTGCTGCGAAATTCTGTGAATTGTGTCGGAGAGCTCTGAAGTGCTCCACATAAAAAGAGGCCGAGGAGAGCTTGCCGTTGAGTCACAGCCCTGTCACGGTATCTCGGTCACCGCCTTTACTGTTTTTTTTTTTTTGTTTTTAAAGAAAATTGTAACAATGGTTTATTTTAAATTAATTGAAACAATGGTCCTTTAACAAAAATTTCATAATTACAAGTCTCTTAACTTATCAAAATATATAGTTATGATCATTTTATGCACATAAGGTCAAAATCAAGGGGCAAATATGAAAAACTTGTAAAAATGATCTCTCAACTTTAACCTAATTAGAGTAATGATCGTTTAATTTTTACTCAATTGGAACAATGATCCCTCAACTTTAACCAAATTATAGCAATGATTATTTCAATATGACTCTTTTTTATGAAAGTTTCGATAGAATTAATAAAAATGATCATATTTGAACGTTTTGAGGTATTAAGGGATTAATAGTCATGTATTTTTACCTAAAAAATCATTGTTCCGTTAAAGTTGAGGGCCTGGCTACAATTTTCTCCTCTTTTTCGGTTTTTTTTTTCTTGGTTTTGTCGTGTTTTAGTCAGATTGAGATGTAATTGTTGTTGGGTCTGAACAAATAAGGTAGTGCGGGTCGCTGTCGTGATTACGTCATGATTGAATTGCCCTTGTTTTTGCGGTGAAATTACGGGGAGTGACAAGATGGAGGATGCTGGCTTTTGGATTTGTGGAATTACACGTGGAGGGCTGCGATTGCTCCGGTGAGTGTACAAGTGTACATATTGCATAAGTCAGAAAATAGCAGATCATTCATATTTTTGTAATTTTCCATTTTTTGTCGCCTGAATATTCAGAAAATCATGATTAATGATTAAAGTGGAGGAAAGGCCCATGATGGAGGAGATTTGACTCTACTCCACCTTTTTTAGCTTTCTTTTTCATGTACTGATTTTAGTCCCCGCCGAAAAAAAAAAAAAGAAATTTTTTTGGTCGACGCTCTTTGAAATTCAAAGATAATCTCAATTTGATTTTAATCGTGCGGATATAAAAACAAAATTAATATTTCAAAACCCGATCAATGATATTTGTGTTCTAACTTTCTAGCTAAGCTCTTTGTGTTCAAATTATCTCCTCCATCGTGTAACAAAGCAACTCATGAGATGGATGCCATTGTGTCTAGAGCGAAAGGTATCTCAAGTTGTAAATGTTTTGTGCTGGTGTAATTCTTTATTATTTTAGTTAACGTTGTTAATGTGTTTGTACATAGTTTGATAATTATCAAAATCAATAATATGAATTTATCTTCAAGGAAAAAGCTTACCTATTTCTTTTTATTTTTCTTTCTTTTATTAATATTACGGTCTAATGGTATTCTTCTTTATTTATAAGTAAGAGGTCATAGGTTTGATTCTCGCCAAGAATGAATTTGAACAACATTATTGCTAGTCTATTGTAAGGCTTAGCCCATCCGTTTCCCATCAATGTAGATAATATCGTTTGTTTAAAAAGAAAAAATCTATATGACTAAACCCACACATGAATAGTAAATATCGTTTACAACATTATTATTACTATTATGATTCAATAAGAAGTTTGATTCTCATGATCTTTCAAAACACACAATGAATTTTGATTGGAAATTGAAAAAAAAAAAATTATAATTCAAACCATTGTAAAGGTCGAAAATAAAATATAAAAAAAAAATAAAAATATTAATCGAACACACATCACAAAACATGCAACCAATAGAAGTGAGTTAAAATGAGAAAAATAAAGAGAAGTGCTTGAGACTGTACATTTCTAGTGACCCTTAATATTGTGGTCTACCTTGCACAAAAGTACCCTCTTCCAGGGCTACTTCGTCCTCACCACAACCCGACCACTCATCTTCCTCTTCGAGTCCAAATTCCAAGTGTGCAATCTCTCTCTCTCTCTCTCTCTCTCTCTCTCCAACCCTGCCAAAGTAAACACATGCTCACGTATGGGACCTGTTCTTGTTTTGGAATATTTTTTTTCCTAACATTTTCAATATAATTCATATTAAAATGACAAAATATTTCGAATTTTAACACATCAATTCTTAATGTTTCGATCAATGGGACGAGGGAGTACAAATTTGTTACCCTTTTCCAACACTGAAATGACGAAAAGAGAATATTTTTTGTACTTTTAGTTGTTATGTAGTAATTAAGGTGATCTCAAAAAACTTGGACTCAAATGTTATATCGTCTCTCTAATGTACTGCAATGTTAAAACTCAAATGTAACTTATGAGTCAAATTTATTTTAAAAAACCCAAATTTAACTATACTTTTGGACTTAATTAGTTTTGATTCTTGTGACTCTTTTTCTCTATAAAAAAGAAGCATTTTACATTCACCTGAAACGGATATGAATCTTGAGTTTGTCAAGTCTAAATTATATGGTTAAATTCTTTAATTTTTGTAACAACATAAAATTACTTAATTAGAGTAACTTGGAAGCCTTTGCATGACCATTTAGAAATTGAACTTTTAAAATTCAAGGTTTAGTCACATCTACACCCTTTGAACTTTAACTCGAGTCTCGTTTAATCCCTTAAAATTGAAATTTTGTCACTTAATTTCCTTGAAACTCAACTATTGTCTCACTTGACCCCTTATTGTCGAAGTCTGTTCATAAATCTATCAAAACTGCTTAGTGACACAATATTGTTGAAAATGTGCACAACATAAGTTCCATGTGGCTAAAAAATTTGATAAATATCAGAGATTTTTAATTCAAAAATTAAGAAAAATAAAATCCCAACAAATTTTTTTTGGGAGGCACACATCTCAACAATAACGAGTACAATTCGTGCCCATGTATAGTTTTAACGAACTTGTTAACGAATTTGAAAGTAGAGAGCAAAGTGAGACTACAAATTAAGTTATAGAGAGTTAAGTCGCAAAATTTAAGTTTTAAGGAATTAAATGGGACTCACATTGATTTTCAAGTAGTATTACCATAAATAAGCCAAACTTCAAGGTTTTTTTTTTTTTTTTTTTTTTTTGAACAAATGATGTTATCAATACTAAAAGGGAGGGGGTGAGCATAACCTCATAATGAGCTAGCAATAATGTGATTCAAATTCGCATTTGGAGATAAACGAACCTAAGATCTCTCACTTATAAATGAAGAAAAATATCATTAGACCGTAGTACCAAGTAACAAAATTCAAGTATTTAGTGCTTTAAACCTTATCACAATAATTTCAAAAGCAAAAGCATTACATATTTGTATCTTTCCCGACTATACATTGGTCGGATTAATATGTGAATTTGTTTCCCTCAAATAACCAAGCCATTCTGTACCACTAGCCTACTGCCTAGTCTCCATCATCTACATATATATATCAAGCCATGTGCTTTGTTGAGCCCAACAATTCAACACCCCCTCCAAGAAAAGTGGATGCTTAAACGCTTACGGTAGTTTTTTACTTTCTTTTGCCTTGAGAGGTTTAAAACACTTGTAGCGAGATTGAAGGTTCAAACCACCTGTTTTTTTCTGTTTCTTTTATATATATTAGCTAGGCTGGTTGTCCAAGCGATCATGCTTAATTGTACAGGACTTATATGATACATGTAACATCGTTATAATAGCGTTTTATGTTAACAAAATAATGATATGTGTGATTTTTTACCCACATGTCTTTATTTTATTAATACGAGACACCACGTGGCAGTGAATCGGTACCATGAAAGTTGTTATCTGATCATGAACATCTGTGCTAACTACCAACGATCAAGTGTGTGAATGATGAACCCAACTATAGCCTAACATTTAGCACGCATGTACCATCGGTTGTATGAATTTTCTTATATTTATAGCTAATTACACACATACAGAAGATGTCTAGAGTTTATGCTGGAACTATTAAAATGAAAACTCTTTTCGTAAGGTAATCTTGTCAAAAATTATTGAGCTAAGTATAAAATACGCTTATGAGGTTTTGGGATTACTTTCGTATGAAAATTTTAACAATTCAAACTAGTTTTTTGTTAGGCCGTTTGGGCCTCCATCTCTAAAAGTGAACCTAAATAATATACCGAATGTATTAAGTTAAATTAATTTAACTAAATATTTGTACTGAAATGTATATATATCAAATTATATGAAATAAATTAATGTACCTAAATAAAGAACACAAAGGGTATAGGAATATATATGAAAAAAAAAGTAATTTACATGTCTAAATAAAATATATTATGATTGAATGTATGCTGACATAGACATTAAGTCTAAAGACTAAAATTAGTTTTTAATCTTATAAAATAGTAGTCTAAAAGTGTTTTTTCTCAAGAACTAAAAATTTGACAACTTCATTGAATTTTCTACAAGGTAGAATGTTTTTTATTTGTTATAATATAATTAAAATTCAAAATTCAAGGGTGACAAAATAATATCCTGGTTTTCTCACGCGTCCTATAAAGTCCATAATTCTGTTCTTTTGTTGTTAATTTCGTGTGGAAGTTTTAATATTGTATTTGTAATATTGTATGATTCTGGTTGGCTGACATGCCACTCAATGTCCCAAACAACCAGAATATACAATGTCACCTTTATAAATAACTTAACAGTTTAATTAACTTTGGTTTCTATAAGGCTTGCGGCCCTTCTATTTTAAATCCCTTCCTTTAACTGCTCTTTCTTTATTAGTAAGCGATAGTTTAATAACTATCAATGCCTCACAAGTTGGTTAGGTCTTTTGGTCAGCAGCTACATATGTTTGACTCAAATCTATAGGGTTTTTTTTTTGGTAACAAAAAGTTTAGGGAACGGGAAGGCTACCACATCTTAAGGTCAAGGCATACCATAAGTCTCTTTGAGGATTTACAAAAGGGTTCTTAGCCGCTTGTTTTGGTCTTCGTCTAGCAAAGAGAATGATCATTCTTCTAATGAATAGAACGATCTTTACCAACTCAACGAACTCTTGTTGTCATAACTTCAATTATGCTTTTTCAACCATTGACTTA